TGGCATAGAATACTCGCAGGCAATATTTGTAGAATATGACATTTTATGTTAACTTTGTCAGATATAATTCACATTACGTAGTTTCAATTGGGACATTTTAGTCTTCTATCGGAAGGTAGGGACAGAGAACTCAATAACGAAGACAGTTCCGATAAGTCGGGACGGATGACAATCCTACACACAACTCTATCCATTCCTAAGGATAAATGTTAGGAAACTTTTGATTATGTCTGTGGCCAGTTTTACTTTCATTATCCTAAGGTCGTCAGTCTTAAGACTGGTTGGACACACACCTCCACTCATTCTTATCCTGAGATAATCTTCGCATTTCCGCAAAATTAGAACAACCCACACCCTTAACTATTTGCGAACAGTAATCTAATCTAGATCCACCTCTACTCCTCTGAACTCCTGTTTATGCTTGAGAAGGTGTCCTATCAACCTATCTCGCCTATTTCTTATTGACTCCCGTAGAGTCCTCTGTTCTCCTATTCTTTCTAATATCTCCTCATTTCTAACCTTCTCCAGCCACGGTATCCTCATCATTTGCCTGTAACACCACAATTCAAACGCTTCTAACCTTTTTATTTCCGCCGTTCCCACCGTCCATGTTTCGAATCCGTACAGCGCCTCGTTCCAAACATACACCTTTAACAATCTTTTTCAAATTTCTAAATTAACCGTTCGCGAGCATAGAACTGACTTCTTTTTATTGAAGGCTACTCGATCCTGCGCTATCCTCTGCTTCATATTCCTACTACTCCTTCCGTCCTGACTTATACCTAAAATCAGCCACTTCTAATCTTTCGTCTCCTATCTTTATATTCACTATTTCCCTACTTTTTCCTCCCTTGCATACCAGTATTTTTGTTTTACCTTTATTTATTTTCATACAATACTGTTTTGTCAATACCGTTTCCATTTTATTTAATGCTATCTCTAACTCCTCCTTGCTAGATGCTAATACTGCTATACCATCTGCAAATCTAAGCATACTAGTCTTTTGCCCCTGTATATCTATCCCTACAGTTGTACTGTCTTTAATGATGTTGCTCGCATCTTCGATGTATATATGAAAAAGGATTTATTATAACACGTCTTATTTTTCGTGGAAAATCAGTAAAAATAACGGTGAAGCGGAGCGCGTTGTCAAAGTAACTTAACCAACGTATTGGCGCATTGTAACTCGAGACTATTAACAAGTTTTAAAAGAGCTATCACTTATTCAGATGTGTTAATTTAATAATCTTCCCATGAGCTTTACAAGCAACTTATTACCAGCCAATGGACATTAACCAGAAATATTTTAGTGCGGGTCGTATAATTTGACTACAGTCCCCGGCGTTTCGTATATAAAAGGTAAGCCGGTGCGATGCAGGGCGATCTTTCAACTTCGTTGCGATAAAACTGACGTATTAAACGCCGCTGTAAGATTTCACACATTACGAACGTTGTAAACTTTTATAATGGCCATAATGTGAAGAAGTGGTTCGCATACTCTTCCCAAAGTATAAAAATTATGGCAAAGTTTTACGTCGCAAGTGAAAAAACGGTTGTTCAATAAATAATGAGAAGCGCCAGACAGTTTCGTGAGTAATATTATAACTATAGGTACTCAAATTTTTGTTAAGGATTTTCAGCATTTTTGATGCAAATAAGGAATTCAGTGACAAAGTAAAAATTTTTAATTGATGTCACCGCTACTTTTTAATTTATACATCGAAGACGCGGTCAACATCATTGAAGACAGTACAACTGTAGGGATAGATATACAGAGGTAAGAGATTAGTATGCTTAGATTTGCAGATGATATAGTAGTCTAGCAAGGAAAAAAAAACTTAAAACTTTTGGGTGTTTCATTCCCATCAGCCAGTAATGCTGGTGGGCGGGCAGTCCCTCCGGACTATGCCGGAAGGTAGGACGGAAGGCCCTCTTCAGTCTGCCTTCAGGAATCGTGGGAATGGGTGGGTAGTGGGTTCGGGTGAGAAAAATGAGACGGACGAAATGAAGACAGAAGAGAGTGAAAGATTATCTGTGGAATATTACTGCCTCAGCATTTGCCTAAGTCATCCAAGGAAACCACAGAAAATCTTCGACCAAGGCGGACGGACGGACCCGGAATCGAACCGGCGTCCTCCCGAATGCTAAGCAATGGTCTAGACCTCTAGGCCATGCCGCTCGGTCTAACAAGGAATAGTTACAGATAACTTTAAATAAAATGGAAGCGGTATTTACAAAACAGTATTGTATGAAAATAAGTTAAAGTAAAACAAAAATGGTATGCATATGGGAAGAAAAAGTAGGGAAGAAGAAGTTAATGGTGTATGTCTAGAGCATGGCACGTACGGGTGCGAAACGTGGATGGCAAGCGGGAATAAAACAGGTTTTACAGGCGAATGATGAGGATATCGTGGATAGAGAAGTTTGGAAATGAAGAGATATTAGAAAGAATAGGAGAACAGAGGACTTTATGGAAGTCAATAAGAAATAAGCGAGATAGGTTGGTAGGACACTTTCTCAGGCATGAATGGCTAGTCAGAGACATGTTACAGGCAGAAACAGGAGTAGAGATTGATCTAGATAAGGGTAGTGTTTTAGGTCTGCCGACCTTATGATGATAATAATGATGACGTTTTTTATGGTTTATTCCCAATCACTAAACTTAACTCCAATATATACAAAAAAAATGGTATAGGTAATACAGAATTCCATGAACCTTGGTCTTATTTACGCAGTGATAAGATATTTCTATATTTCTACTAATTATTAAAAACATTGGCCCTCACCACTGTTTATAATTTGTCTGCAGCTCGATTCTTAGTTGTAAGTATAGCAGGGCATATGATTAACAACTGAGTCAATGTTTTCATAATGCACAAAATAAGATTGGCATATGAAAGTTCATGAAATTTTGAAAGAGCTGTATAAATACTTGAATTGTTTGGGTAGACATTACCCTTAATAATACCTGAATAAGTAATTTGTCGAGAGGGTTGGAAACCCGACCTTGTGTATAACATATTTTCCCATAACACGTGTCTAGTTACGGTACAACGTGCAATACCGTTCGTTTTACGGATCGCATCAATTCGCCCCAAAAAGTACCTTGCAAAAGCGATGCTTCAATTCGGAATAAATTGAATTCGATTTAATTTTGGTTAGTGTAGGCTTTTTTTAAGATTATTAGTTGTTAGTATGACGTAATGTTATTATAAATTATGTCAGAATATCTTCTACATTTTATCAAATTTTAATTTTTGGAATAAAGTTCCTTACCGTACGTTATGGCGTCAAAAAGCTAAACTTCATCAATTTGAAAGCTCACTTAACTTCCATTCACCTCAAATTACCTTAAATTTCTTTTTATTCCTTATTCTTTTAACAAAATTTCCTTACAGTTCCCTAGAGATTGCTATAGCGAAAAAACCTATTCAAACAAAAAAAATTCATTTGAAGAAAAAAGGAAGTTCTTATAGAATGATTTGAATATTGCTTTAAATAATTAAATGTAATATATCTAGGCACTACCGTAGTAGAAATTCATGTAGGTATTACCATTAACTGGTGTAATTCTGTATAGGGAGAATATATCGATTAACGGATTGGGTGCAATTGAAGTGCGTCTGGATTTCGGGTGCTTTGAAGAGGAACATGATATCCCTTATACATTGCGGGCAAACTATTCACGGCTTTGAAGCACATTGTGCTAGATCGGTTTATGAACGTGTGCTTGTTTTGATTTCCATCGCCGACCAAAAGTAAACGCAAAATGAGCTTTGCCAAT